AAGCCCACGGCCACTCACACACCAGCCAAATGTTCTTCCACTGAGCCCCAGAGCATATAACCTTGAGTACTGCCAAAATCTTGTTTCCTTTTTGTTGAAGACAAGAATTTAGACAAGTATGGGTAAAAGTACTTGTCATTAGAGGGTTCACTTTCTTATTTCACAGGAAGCAAACCCAGAAAGGCGTGATCAAGAAATGTCATCTCTAGAACAGCTAAGGGCTGGGGAGATAGCTCAGCCAGCAGTGCAGTGCCTGCCTGGCAAGTGTAAGGTCCTGATTTTGATTCCCAGTACCCCCCCAAAAAAAAAAAGAAAAAGCCAAAACACCTGTGCTGGCTGTGTGAGCTACAGCTTTGAGAGCAGTGTTCGCTTTGCACTCTGCTTGAGTGACACAAACTGGAATTAAACAGTGCACAACTCACACAGCTGTGTGTGACCTTATAAATTATAGCTACTATATTTTTATCAGTAGCAACCTGTTTAATCCAGTATATAAAATTTTGTATTTATACTTGACATCTATAGCCATTGATAACATAATCACAATCGCACAGCAAACATTTCGTGGCATAGCTGCACTTAGTGGGAAGATGTATCAATAAGGTAATGATTTTATTGTTTTTTAGAGACCAGAATCATTATTTTTAGAAACCAGAAGTCCTATCAAATGTAAAGTATGATGTCAACAAAGTGCCAGCTCAATGCCAAATATCTGCCAAGAGTCATTTGTATCCCAATGTACGGTAGCTTTTTCTTTTTTTTTTCTCCGGTACCGGGAACCGAACTCACGACCTTGCGCTTACAAGGCAGGCGCTTTTGCCGCTGAGCTAAATCCCCAGCCCCTGCTTTTTATTTCTTGAAGGCCTGGAATCCCAGATAACACCTCTGTTTTCTTGAACAGTGTCATTAATTTGTTTGACGTATAAATGTGAATCACAGCCACCTTTATACTTTCGTGACCAGAATGGGAAGACTCTTCCACCTTTAATCAGTCACAGCTGTCGCTGAGGGGCAACACTCACAGTAGCAACTCCATCAGCTGTTAAGAATAAACTGTCTCTAGTTACAGTTATCTATAGAATTCATCCTTCTTTAGAATTTAATGATGAATAAACTTTAGTTTGAGGAGAACTTTTTTTTAGGTAGGGTCTCATTATGCAGTGCAGGCTGGCTTTGAACTCGATTACATAGCCCAGGCTGGCCCCCAACTCATGGCAGTCCTCCTGCCTCAGCCTCCATACTTGGCTGAGAGCTTTTGATTGAACTCCTGGTTAGGCTGATGTGAATGACTGCCAGTGAGTTGTGTTTCGGAGGAAGTATCAACTGAGCATTTTCAAAAAATGGCGTACAGCTGCTTACACCCAGGAGCATAGATCAGTACTGTGCTTTGTAAACATCTGAGCGGATAGAAATCACCTGGAAATCACTGAGGCGAGTAGGACAGGGTCAGGCCTGAGATTCTGTGTGCTAACAGGTTTCCAGGTGGTACCGAGTCTCCTGAGGTGTGAGTAAACATCTTCAGGCAGCAGGGCTTGGATTTGCTGCCTGATGCATGGCAGGAGACAGGAGGGCCTCTCTTTGAGTTTGTAATTTTCAGGCCTGTTCAGCTCAGCAGTAACTCTAGAAAGGTATTTCAAGGATTCCTGAAAGCTCTTCCTGAATGGAAGTTGAATACCTCATTTGTCTCTTCTATGAAAAAAAAAACCAGCCCGGTTTTAGGGGTCGCATACTCAAATGTACTCCATGTGCAATTTTTGTTTTTGTTTTTGTGGTTCTTTTTTTCTGGAGTGTTCACTAGGTAATTGCCAGAGAGTGGATATGTACACTTCCTAACTCTTGAAGAAATGCTAGTAAGGTTCTAATTCCCAAAGTGAGGTTGTGAGGAAGAATGAAGTACGCATGTTTTTTCACTGTAATAACTAACATTTATATACCATATCCTGAGTAACTTTATCTTCAATAACCTTCTGTTAGGCTGAAAAAGTACTGATAGTATCTGTTTTACAGACGAGAAAACTCAGGCTCAGAGATGTTTAGCGAATTGCTCAGCGCTACGTGTTAGACAAGCGGCTGAGAAGCTTAGGCCTAATCTAAATGGATCTAAACCCATGTTTTCCTTCTGTAGTTCTAAACCGTTACACTTTTCATTTTTCTCCAGTTTGGATCCAACACATATTCTCTAACCATGCATAAAAATAAACTGCTGCTACCCTTGATTAATGGAGGGTAGATTGGAGATTCTTAGGTCCCTAACCCAGAGAAGTCAGGGAGAGTGTATTGCAGGTTTCTGCATAATTAGCATCCCATGTAATTCACATTAGGATGGTCTGATAAAGTAGAATTAAATTAAAACTGCTCAAAGGAGCACAGTGCTATTGATTCAGGACTTGCTAGAGCCAGTATCAGTCACCTCTTGCTTTTGGCAGAGGCTCAAAGGCAGGCAGGGAAGTGAAAAGCTTTGATAAAAAGGAAGGGGAGCCCCCACCCTCTGATTGGGAGCTGTTGGCGTGGGAATGCCGGGGGCGGCTCGTAGATGCAGGAGTATTTGATGGGATTGGTTTGGAAGATATATTTAGCTTTCTCTGTTGGTCCTGAGATGGAAGCAGGGGTAAAAATAAAGAAGCTGGCAGTAGTTGACCTCGTCCTGACTGTCCTGGTCCAAACGCTGCAGGCCGTGGGTGGGCTTCCTGGGGCCCTTTACCCTGTAGTGTATGGACATTCTCTGTCCCTCCCGGACTGTGAGAAACACACTGCGACCTGGTGGAGGTCCACCTGACCTTCCTCTCTGCAGCTGGTGGACTGTAAGCTCCAGGAGAACTATGACCCATCCTTCGAGCGCACCAGTTCCCAGCCCCATCGAAGGCGCTCGAAGGCACTTTATAAATCCTGCCTAGTGACACTATGTATTGTCTCTAATGTTCTTTTAAATTATTATTTTCTTATTACCTTTAATGATTTGATCAATCTTCTATTCTTACATCTGGTAATCTGAGCAACTTCGTTGAAGATACCATTATGAAATATAACAACCACTGTTAATCCCTATCATTTGGTTTGAAACCCCGTATCATTTTAATGTCCTTGCTTTGTGTTGTCTGTATTTTGCTATTTTTTTTTTTTTGGTACTATTT